TGATGTCATGGAGGGAACATCGCCAATCAGCCTGTTTAAGCACACATTTTCTGAAAAGTGGAGCAGGCAAAAAACATGAAAGGATGGACTTTTTAGAATTGGGGGATATGTGATAGAGTGCATTTTTCATAATGTGTGACCTTTAAACGCCTCATGCTGCTTAGAAAACACACAGAACAATAAATTATCTATTAGCTGGGAAGTCTTTGTACTTTAAGGGATAAAAAAAGGGGAAAAGAGGGGGAGGAGTAATCACATTATATAAATCAGATGGTTCCTGAGGTCATTTTTGTCTTCACACACGATTATGCATGCCAACAAACACATCACACACACACATTAACTGTGTATGGCTGCATCCACTTATGACATCACTGTAGCTAGCCAGAAAGACAGGAGAGTCAGAGTGAGCAAAGCTGACGTCATCCCATTCACTCAATGTCAAATTACGTAATCACAGGGTCCAACGCCTGCAGGACAGGCATGCTGTGTGTGTGTTTTTTGGTAATCGCATGCGGGGCAAGAACACATAATTGCAATCTCATGTGTGAGAGGAGACATAAAAATGAGGCATGGTGATGACATCATTAGCAGGGAGGCGGCCTGGCGTGAGCATGGCGGCTGTGACATGAGGGAGAGTGTTTGGGGAGAAGAGGAGGAGACAGAGCGCTGCAAACAGACCTGGCTGGAGGAGTTATGCAACACAAATCCAACTCAACAGACTAGAAAGAGGCTTTTTTTTCCCTTTTTCGGTGAGTGTGTGCAGTGTGTGTCTTAAGTGACTTTTCTGTAGCACTTTTACTTTAGGCAAAGAGTGCATTAAAAACACACAAGCACTCAAGCATACTGCTGAAATGCACACTGAAGTCTACACACATTCATATACATACACACACTCTCTCTCCCCCCTCCACTTATAAACAAAGCTTCCTAGGGACAGGAAATCCTTCCACCCACGTTCCTGTGTTGCTTGGCAACCACAGCAGCGTCACTGTGTGCATGCCTCCGCCGATGAAAACAACACACAAGCACAAACACGTAGACAAAGAAAAACACAAAATCAAACTCCTTGAACTCTGCTCCTTCAAAAAACAGCAAAGGAAAACAGCAGCGAGCGGAGCGGCTACTTGCCACAGCTGCCCAACGATTCCTCCGCTATGGATCTAAACCAAACATGACATCAGCCCTTGTAAACATAAAACAGTTTTTCCTCTATTTATTAGCTCTATTTTTACTCCCGCTGACGTCTTTCTAATGCCTGTGTGTTTCAGTGCTCGTTCACTCTGTTCGGTTTGTGCCGGTGTGTGCCACCGAGTGAGGATGCAACCAGCAATAGCTCAGCACGACTAAGTAGAGAGAGGCTAATTGAGCAGAGGTGCCCAGCACTGTGGACAATGAGTCCATTTCAAATCAGCAGGAGGCCTATTGAAGACAATTATAACCTGGGGGATACAGAGGAGCATTATTCTTCTCAGCCATCTCGGCCACTTAGGCTGCCTGTGTTTCCACTTTCCACTGCAGTTTTAAAACACGCTTCATACTCTGCAGATGTTTTAACACATGAATCAGAACACGAACTTAACCAATGACTGCAAATTCCTCATAAAACTGATCTGGAAATGGTATAAAAGCCTAACAACGGAAAGGGGCACAGCTACAAACTGTTTCTGAAGTCCATGAAGTTACCCTGCAGCCTGCATCGACTACGTTTTATGGTGTAACAAGTGGAATGCCTTCCAAAAGTTGAATAACACAATGTTGTGCACATTTGCCTTGCTCCTTTTGGAGGGACTCCAACGACACTTTCCATCAGCGTTTGTGCAAATAACAGTTAAGTAATAGCTTTAAAGTTACACCCTGTTCTAGTCATAGTGCCTTATCCTGAAATCTCCTCTGAGCACAATGTCACTTAGTTCCTCAGAGCTCATTCAGTATGTTTACATTAGAGGTGGGGGGAAAAAATCGATACAGCATAGGATCACGATATTTTGCATGGCGATATTATATACATTAATGGCCGCCAAATGTCGATATTTTTATTATATTAACAGCAAATGTGCTTTTTTATTTTTTTATTTCTGGGGTGGTTGCACAATTCAATTTGAGTAAGTTGCATTGTTAAAAATTAACATCCCTAAAAGTTTGTGTCCAGTTAAGTTCCATCAGACTGAAATACCAACAAGTTCAGATTGTGAGGTGCATGCAGCCTTTTACAGGGTTTCACTTTGATCACAGCGTTGGTCAGTCTGTGGACTTGACTCCCATTGGATAGAAATAAACGGACTGATGAGTAGACTGACAGTTTATATATACATACGCAATTTATTGTATCGCAATTCTCAGAATATCGCAGCATATCGCAAAATGTTTAAAATCGCAATTATATTTAATCGTGACTCAAGACTCGTGAAAATATCGTAACGTGGGGCCTCTGGTGATTCCCGCCCCTAGTTTACATGCACAGCTGGCCATTTAATTAGACCACTGTCCTTTTCCCATTATATGTGCAAGCAACAGGGGAGAATCAATTTATTGATGGAAGAATGTCCAACTCTGCTACGATATGCCCCCTTGCAGCTGGTTACCATCAGACCCAGTTGACCCTCATTAAGAAGTTAGCACGTGTCAGGAACATGATGCTCCGGGGCTTGGCGCTGAGATAGAAGTTCATCACTTTGTCACTTTATAGAATTTAAGCTTTAGGACACCCCAAAACTTGTTGTACACCATTATATATTCAAAAACCATAAACTTAAAACATTGATTTTCAAAGATGTCCTGTCAACACTTCCTTCTCTTCTCTCTTCCCCGTCTGAGCTAACACAACCGGAGCCCTTCATACCGACAGAAATCAAGGAAGTCTTTCACAGATAAGTTGCTCTTTTGTTTTGTTCACCTTTAAGAACTAAATGTACCTCTGCAGCACACTTTTTTTTCTGACTGTGCATTTTAGACACTCTGCCATATGGCTGATGGGCCTCCGCTGACCGGTGCACAGCGGTGGGTCACGGTCCTGCTCAAGGCCAGCTAATATAATCAGACATATTAAAACCACCATTTTTCAGTATTTACGCTGAATTAATCATGTGCTGGCAGACAAGAAAGCTGTCTGATGCTTTTATTCAAAACACAGACTATTGAACACGTTCACACATGAATTATGGATCCATTATGGACTGTTTTAGTTGCGTTTAGGGAATCCGACTAACAACAGTTGTACTGAGAGCAACAACCCACTGAGCCATCCATACCAATTATCTGCGTCTAGGGTGGAGTCTGGATTCAATATTCAATTTACACAATCTCACATTAGAGCCTCCAACGGAAAAAAAAAAAAGTGTCAAAGGAGCCGTAACGGACAAAAACAGAGCCGTTTCTTTTTTTTCTCTCTTTCAGAGTCTCAACTGTCTCCAAAGTGAAAAAGAAGCGGGCTAACTGAACGTCGCTCCACAGGGGTGTCCATTGAGAGACAGCGAGAGGTGGAGGGGCGAGAACTCCATTGAACGCAGCCATGGGGGGTCAATATGTGAATGAACGTTTGCCATGGAGGTGAATTATGAATGAGCGCTCCCGGTGAGAGCATGTCAGCCCGCGTCTCCTTCACTCCATCTCCTCTGCTTTCTCCTCCTATTCCTCCTCCTCTTCCTGTCCTAAAACCTCCACCGTCCTTTCCTTCCTCTCTGTCTCAGTTTCATCTCTCGCCACCGGATTAATCTCCTCATCTCCCTCTTTCTCAGTCATCTGATCACTCCAACCGTCCTCCTCCTCCTCCTCGACCCTCCTCCACCTCCTGACTCCAGATCAGGGGAACGAAGAGGAGGAGGATGAGAAGGAGGGGGTGGGGGGGGTGGGTTTTGGGTAGACACACGCCGTCTGTCTGAAGAGATGACAGAACATTCTTTCCCTGCACATACATATTTACACAGCCTCAGATGGGTACACACACACGCACAGTAGCAAAAGATAACACAGAGGCAAACAGTCCTGCACGTGCAAAGGCAGACGCATGCATTAAGTGAAAACGCTCTCAGGCACTGACACACACACACAATTCTCCCAGCTGTTCTGCTGGCCACTGAGCTTGTATGTGTGTGTGTGTGTGTGTGTGTGTGTGTGTGTATGTGTGTGTGTACCCGTCTGTGTGTAATCCAATGTGCTGCTCTGCCTGTGCCACGCTCTCTCCTCTGTTGCTGTGCGTCTGATCAGATCTGCCTCCCCTCAACCTGTTTGCCGTCTATGGCACACACACACGCTCTGTGACACACGAACACCTATAAAGACACACACACACACACACACACACACACACGCACACGCACACGCACAAGAAGCTGCTACTACAAATCAAGCCACATTCAGTGTCAAACCCAGCTTTTGGAAAACAGAAAATTCATCCTGTGCTGCGTTTGTGGTCTCCAACCCAAACACAGTGTTGTTACCGTGCTAAACAAAAACTCTGCTAACACACACACACACACACACAGGGATGGAAAGAGGGGTTTCATGACTGCCTTCTTCTGAGGCAGTGTGACCCCCTTCTTTTTTTTTCTCCACTTTGGCTCAAAATAAAGTGGCCTAACTAAGGTGTGTGTGCATGTGTGTGTGCCTCTGTGTGTAGAAATAAGAAAACACTTTCCCCTAAAAAGTATCCACTCCTTTTGATCCCTTCACTCCAGTTTATAGCGGTCAGCTCAGCTCGCTTGCACACTTTGGCCCCCTTTTTAGGTTGTGGAAAAACAATACTAAAAAACTCACACACACAAACACAAATGTATATATAGACTACACACACACCTCAACTCTCCCTCTCTCTCTACCTCACACACACCTCCACTCTTCCCTTTAAGTGCAGAGCCATGCAGCACATGTCAACACCCCGCACACACACACACACACGCATGCACACAAGCGCGCACACACACGCACACACACACGCACACACAGACACACACACACACCTCTGCCAGACCTGTATAGCCATGAAAGCGCCATAAAGTCACCTTAGGATCCTTCTGTTTTCCAGACGAGCAGCTTCTTCACAGTCTTCCTCTCCTCTGTCACACTTCTCTCCTCCTCTCCTCCTTTCCTTCCTTCCGTGATGTCCGTCCGTCCTTCCTCTCTCTCTCTCTCTCTCTCTGTTCTCTCTCTTCTTCTCTCCCTCTCTTCGTCTCGGTGCTCGGTCAGTTCCCAACGTTTTTCCCGAGCCCCTCCATATCCGCCCCGCCAGTCGTTTCTACCTCCGAGCGAGCGTACCTACACACACACACACGCACACACACACATACGAGCCGCTGCGTTCCTATAGTCTCTCTCTCTTTCCCTCGGTTTATCCCTCTCTGCGCTCTCTCTCTCTCTCTCCTCTGTCGGGGAGAGCTCAGTGAGCGTGTGTACGTGTGTGTTTGTGCATGCGTGTGTGCGTGGAAGTGTGTGAGTGTGTTTGTGCGCTCTGCCTTGCCCCGCCAGCAGCAGAGGACTTCCCCCGATGCCCGAACCGGGTCCTAGCGCTAGCCGAGTTCACTGAAAGAATGCTATTGTGTACGGAAGGCAGAGTCAAAGATCGTCTATGATTTAGACAAGACGACTCCCGCATTTTTTTAAACATTTATGCAGATTTTTAAATTGACATGTCTATGATAAATAATTGGAAAAAACATGAAAATAGTATGCGTATTATTACAGATTAAGAGTAGCCTAAATTTAAAAAAAATATATCCTAAATCTGGTGTTTAGGCATGATGGTATTAAATCAGATGCAATTAATAAAAGACTAATCTTTTGAATGCACACAACTACACACACACCCTCCTACAATCATACAAAAAAAAACAAAGACTGAATCTGTTGGTTTGGATTGTAAAAGAAAGGGACTGAAATTACTCTCAAAATCGTGCTATGATAAGTATTGTTTTAATTAGAAGTAAATTGTAGTAGGCTATGTTATAGGCCTATTTCAGAAACATAACTTTAAACTGGAAAATATATCAAGGTCAAAATTTGCATAACATACAAATCTGTTTGCCGACATAATGTTTGATTGAAAAACAGACATTAATGTTTAATGGTATATTAAGGTTCTGTTCAAAACATATAGGATTTATTTTGAGTGGTTAACATCCAAATGTAAAATGTAGGGGGGGGGTTTGTCAGTAAGTTGTTGTTGAGTCTTAACCAGAGTGGTCGCTATGGCAACAGTAAGGCAGAAGCAGAGGCGGATATCTATGAAAGGGTGGAGGTGCCATTGTAGATGGAGGATGGAGGGGACATGTCCTCTACATATGATCACTTCAGAGCTTTTATCTAGTCTGTTTGTTTGGATTTTAAATCATATTTTTATATTGTCTGTTCAGGGTCTTACAAAGCAGTGCTTTACATTTGATAGTAGGCCTATTATGTTGGACAATCTATTTTAAGTTATTCCCCCACAAAAGTACATTAACATAAGGATCCCCCAAATTTTCAAATTAGCCTATTACCAAAACTTCATTTCTGTCTATAGCAATTGCAGAAAATGTGACAGATGGTATATATTTTTGCAACTTAGTGAGTCATCTTCGTTAACATAATCAATCTTTTGTGCAGCTACCTTCTTCCTCATCTCCTTGCACCTCCCTCCCTTTTCTCCCTCCCGTCCTTCCTCAGAGCGTCATCAGGTTGCCATAGCAACGGCCCGCCTATGGGAGACAGAGATCAGATCATTATGGACCATGGGATCCAGAAAATGAAGGACAGGACTTCTTTTTTTTTTTTTTTTTTTGCTGTGAACAGGAAGTGGGAATCCTTAACAGGAAAGCTTGATCTAATTTTTAGTTTAACATCCAGTGCAGCACTTTTCAGGAGGAAGTGCTGTTTGGGGTGAAAAGGAGCACTTGCACTCCATTTAATCACTTAATCACTTTCATGGATATGCATTATCGCATGCTTTTACATGTAAACATGTTGCCTGAAGAAACAGTTAAGCAGAACTTCCTTGCACATTACTGAATTAATGGATCTGACAGACGTGGCAGTGATCGCCTTACTGAAAGACTCCAGTCAGGAAATCCAAATTCATTTTATTTATGGGAGGAGAGATCGAAGAGGGAAAAGTGCATTGGTGCATGTTCACGGTGAGAGATGGAAGCACAACATACACCAAGGAAACAGCTTTGTGTTTGACAAAGATCAAAGAGAATTGTTGGGAGAAAGAAGCGTGTTTACGAGTTCTCAAATCAAGGCTGCTTCTCCCTGCCCGTGTTATTAGTGGGAGGCCGTGTGTGTACGAGTGCGTCTCTGTGTGTTTGTACTGAGAGCCTAGAGGGCTGCATTAAGCTGAAGTGACAGTGGGGATCTTAAAGATGTCTTCCAAAGTTTGTGATTGGGAGAGATCTTATCTTTGAGACTTAAAACAGCAGAGGAGAGGAGAAGGCGAGAGGAAAAAAGATGAGAAAAGGAGTGAAGAGAGGTAATAAAAAAGAAAGAAGCGGAATGTCATGGTTTTGCACTCAACAAGTGGCAAAAGATATGTGAACTGGTCAGTGCTTCAATCTGAAAAAGAGGACAAATTATTCAAATAAATAGATATTGGTAATCTGCATGTTTAAAGTGTGTACATGTTGTCATGGCAATCAAAGTGAGTTTCTCTGTGTTTCGCCTCAGGTATGGGTGTAGATGTAGCAGATTTGGCTTGGTTTTGATGTTGTAGAGTTGGCTAAATTCCAGATCCAGTTAGCTCTCACTGTGCAAACCTCCGCAGTCAAAAGTCTGTGGTATACATGTGACTAAGTCTCTTTAGGATTCAGTGAGCAACGTCATCTGCTACATGCTCACTAATACTTGATGTTGTACAAATGTATTATTGACACTGCATGCTTATGCTGAGCACTCTGGCTGGTTGAATCAATGATTTGCTGTTGACACCTGGTGTTAACATGGACTCCGTATCTGGATGAAGACCATAGTGAACCCAGATGAACACACATGTAAAAGTTCCTGTTCAAAGGGAGCTCATAATGGTGGTATCCAATGTATTTTTTAAAAAGGGGCATGAGAATGTTTCTTCCAATCGTAGGGGGTCACACTGATTAGCCACCTTGTGAAAGTTTCCTCCAGGGTTCATAGAAGAGGCTACAACTTATTGTTTGACCTCTGATATGGGAACAAGATTGATTCCTTCCCAGGCATGGAACAGTTGACTGCGAGGTTACGAGGGGGTTACGAGAGCTTGCTCGTTCAGTCTGGACCGAGGTAATATTTAGCACTGGGATCATTGCTATGAGCCATCTGGTCCTTAAATAACCCAAGTGAAAGTGATGTCCCTATTCTCGACACAAAGTCCAACCTGTTTAATTTCAGAGTCAGCCTCTGCCCGGTCGTCCCTTACCACAATACAATTTTACTTACGCACTCCTGGAAATTTCTAGAGAATTTCAGGATGACAGCCCATGAAATCCTCCTGATCTGGTTTTTCAGGTATGCACCTCACAGTGGGAGACTATCCCTGTTAGACAGGAGGGGGGCAGACGGTCTCAAGACATGACATAAAAGAAGTGACAATAAAAGCAACTGAGCCCAATATAAGATGCTGTAATAAGAAAATGTGACTTTATTTCAATTCCACATCTATTTTGACGGAATCACAATATCAACCAAAGACCTGTTAAGAAGATACTGGTGAACAGAAAACATAATGCAGCAATTTTATTAAGTGCACTGAGATCTATGGGCGACCACAGGGAATAAATATCACCACCCCCTCACACTCGGTCGAGGTAAATTCTTCTGATTATATCCTGCTGCATTCTACTATCAGCTCACTCGCTTAATGTTCTACAAGGGGCCTGGCAGGAGTAGCTAAAAAAAAAAAAAAAAAATTCAGCCAGTTGTTCAGGAGTTTTTTGCAAGTGTGAAAGCAGCTATGGATTCTATTTGTCATGTTCATGGACAGGATCTGAAGGTACAAGGACATTTCGGTAAAAGGATACCAGATTCGGAAATGAGGGAAACCTCAGAGTCCTTTTGAGAATAAATAACGGTTTGAAATGAAATGAAATGAAAATTTGTACCTTTGCGTTTTTGACGATTATGTAGTTCTGTTCACTTGAACAAACTGTGATCACAGCCACCTACTGGGGTGATGTGCAGCCAATGGCAGCAATTGGACACCTCCAGAGGAAGTTTGAGAACTATGTTTTTTATCTGCAAAAAAATGTCTCTATCTATATCATGCAGAAACAGAATGTAACACCTGGTGTAAATGGGGTCAAAGAATTTACCAAATGATTTATTGATGTGAAAGGTAAGTGACCAAAACATCACTTTGTGATATTTACCAGTAGATATTGTCATTTAACATCTGCTTTAGGATCTGTAGGACTAACTATTTGTTGCTGTGTTCTGCAATGTATAACACCAACAACCTCACAAGAAAAAATAACACTTGATTAAAATGATGAAAGTCTTGTGTTCCAGTTAGTCCACCAGGATCAAGCTGGACATTACATGATAAAACCAATAAAATGCAATGGTCATTCTGGTAGGATTAAGGTTTAGAGATTAAGGTTAATGGTAGCATGGTGAAACGGGATAAAATGCAGAACGTAACATTGGCATGCACACATACAATATTGTACTTACACAGACACACACACACATATACAGACCAGAGATGGTGATCGGCCTGGAAGGCGTCTATCTATTCATGATCCTTCATTCTTTAAACAGAATGCCTTCTTGGCCTGTCTATCCAGAGGCCTCGGCCGGACAGGGGGGCGGGTCAGCAATCCTGAGTATGTCAGAAAACAGGCAGACTTATGGGCTGTCAATCAAACAGCCACTATATTTCTCCTCACAAGTCTGTCTCCCAATGTGTGTTTCTTTGCTTTTCACTGTCTTTTTTCCACCCCGTCTCTCCCTCAAGTCTGACAAGCAAAAGATTTTCACTTACTTCAGAGGAGGAAAATAAGTGAGAGGGAGTCTCCTTGTCAACTTTAACCATTCCCTCTTTTTCTCTCTCACACTTTTGTCTCACATATCAGAAAGACAGCTAGCAGTGGTTTGTCATTGTAACAGTTTAGTGGACTGTGTTTCCAAATCATCCTTTACATTTTTTTTTCTGGAGACAGGCAGACACATAACATTCCTCAGGAGTCAGGTTAAAAGAAAGAGAGGAAGTTGTGAGGTCTCTCCTTTTCTCTCTCTTTCCCAATGCAGCCGAGTGTTACACACAGATCGATAGTAATCCTGGTGGGAGCCGTTTATTTTGGAATGTGTGTGAGGCCCGGCGGGTGACAGAATCCACGTTCACACTCACACATGTGTGCCACATTATAAATCCCGCTGCAGCTGG